CACACATATATATATATATATATATATATATATATATATATATATATTGCTCTCAGTCCTCTGTGGAACATTTTCAAAGCAATATTTTTTGAATAATAATTTTTTAAATGTACTCTACATTTCATAACTAGCTCAAAACTAAAAAAATGTTGTTGCATATTTTCCCCTACATTTGAATGAGATTTGATATAAAGTTTAAAATTGGTTTTCTGAGGTCCAAATTGTTTTTTTTCTCCCCCCCCCGGCATTCATTATATCCCTAGGTTTGCCATAACATATCATGTCATCCCAATTTACAATGCAAGCTGAGCAAAATGCTGACAGCAGCAATAAGAGGAGCTTTGCGCTAAAGGACAAGCTGGCATGCAGAATGGTACATCAGATACAGAACATCTGATACTGGCACCATTTTACCTCAAGCCCCTGGTCATAAATTATTCTCACTGGTAATGAAGAGCCTCTAAAATCACACAAGATTGCTTGAAAAATATCTCTGTCGTCACCATGCAAGTGAACAAAGAATCTATAGCAATCAGTAAGTCGCAATTAATAATGTTAGCATTCCTTTTAAGGATGAAAACATCTCTTGTTTGTCCAGCTAGAGCTATTTAAGATTTAACTCTTTTCTCAAGCTGTTGTTTTTATCAATTGCCAGCAATGAGTCCTGGTTAGGGAGAAGGAGGAGAGGATGGGGGCCTGGGGTGAACAGAGCAGCCAAGAGAATTTAAAACAGGAGACCCCCAAGGTCAGACCTCATCCATTCCCCTGAGAGAGAACAATGACGGAGGGGAGAACGGGAATTAACATGGACTGAATGCAGCTGTGTGAGTGTTTGTGAGGGTATGAGAGGAGATGGTGGGAGAAATGGAAAGAGAAAGAGTGACAAGAAGACCATAGATGCAGGACTAAAAGCTGTCAGAAATATGATAAGATTAAAAATCCCCTTGGAGAATTTGTTTAGATGAGAAGGTCCAGGGATGAGCAGTGGGAGACCCTCAAGGCATCTCTTGCAGAAAGTTTTGGCTTCTAGATTGGAGGGTGAACTTTGTGTGGTCACCTCTGCCCTGAAGACTGCAGGGTGCCTGGATCTACAGCACGCCTGGCCTTGACCGCTCTGAGGTAAGATTATGAGACTGAGGACGATGGGATTAATTTTAACCTCTGGAAATCGCCAAGGTGTTCATATTTCTGCTGTTGCAGCCTGTGTGTTCTATAATAATATAAATAAGCTAGCACGGAGCTTCATGAGAGGGATACTTCCCTGTGGATTTGTGTTTCAAATGTTGACACTGTGGGAGATGGGTTTCCTGTGGTCTACAAAACAAACAGTAATTCCTGTCTGAGCTCATGTTTCCTTCTGAATGTAACTTGTCACAGTTGGTGGTGTGTTGGGTTAATGCTGTGTAAAGAAGCTACAAAATCCTTGTATTGTATTTGATTATCAGTTATCAGACTTGTTGGTTGACCTCCTCAGAGGACAAAGAACAACTGCTGTAGGTTTTATCCAGTAATTCTGGCATGTTAGAGGTGTTTTGCGCTTGTACTGATTTGGCAAATTGACTGCAATTTACATCTTGTTATATGTGTAGTGCTGCTTTCACAGTGAAAAATGTTTCTCTTCAGCTTCAGTGAATCACAAACGCTGGTCATAATTGAGGTGTTTGAAACAGGTCATAAATATGGCAGCAATTCCACCTTTAATTTGCCAAATTCTGTGATTGCACAGTAAATCAGTTGTTATCAATTGTTCTGTTCTGATGGACATTTGGGAAAACACAGTGCAACATGTACATAATAAAATGCAATTAAACATAATTATTCATTGGATAGCAAAGTAAATAGATTAACTTTAAAAGTGCAAGAAAAATGCATCCTATGTGTTTATTTGTAATGTCAAAGGCCACGTGATGAACTCCGTGTATTATTAATGACAATTATTCTGTCACTTGTCATTTTTATGTCAAGATTTATTGTACTTCCATGCATTTAGCCAAGTGTAAATAACATTTTTAACAATTGTAACTTTTCTGCTTTTATCATGTTAATAATTGTGTTTATTATTAATTTTTAGCTTTTTTTTTTGGTACAATAAAGAGTCCAGTGTAAAATCCTGAAGCAAATCCAAATCCATATTCTTAATGATAGTCCCTTAAGCATTTTCTTATGCATTAAAAACTGCCCCAGCTCTGGCTGTGAGGTCAGTCTAAGCATGCATCTACACATTTCCATAACTAATTTGTATCAGACATCACATACCCTCCCTTTTCCAATCCATTAACACCCAACTGTCTTTCTCTAATAATGACCCTTTCCTCTTCTAACCTTTGGCCCATATCATTCACCCTCTCTCTGACTCCTTTTGGCCTGTAGCCTGCTGTCGTTAGCATCCACACCAGCTGCAATGTGTTCAACCGAGCCGATCGTTACACTTCGGGAATGAGTGACTCTATGCATCATTAATGATTAATTAATGCCAATGATCATAAATAAGATTATTTATATGGACAAGCTCCACAGTTACTCTGCCAGTGGTGACCAAAACCCCAAAGGAGTCGAAGTGGAGGGTCATTTGAGAAGGAGTGTGTGTGTGAATGTGCCATTGTCAGTAAATTCCACATTGAGTTAATGCTATGTATCTGAGGATAGATAGATAGATAGATAGATAGATAGACAGACAGACAGATGAAGATATAGATATAGATATAGATACTTAGATATAGATAGTGCTTAACAAATTTATTAGACCACCTGTCATAATAAAGACAGAAAACAAATATTTTAGGAATCTGTCAAAAACTTTTTTAAACAAAAAATTGTGTTGTCATTTATTGGGCAAACATTGTTTTTATATATTTTTCTACATTCTCTGTAGTTATCAACTTCCAAAGTTTCTAGTTATTCCCAAAGATTTGCTTTTGATTAAACTTTTGTTCGATTTATCTGTGAATCCATTAAATCCCAACAATAATTTTATTTTAGCATTAGAAACACTACTATGACTAAAGAGCATACAAATACTGGTGAATTAACCATTACAAAAACATATAAAAATTATTTTGGTAATCATCAATACTGTTAGTTTAGGGCAGCTGTGGCACAAACCTTACATTAGATGGTGGTCTAATAAATTTGTGTGTGTGTATATATATATATATATATATATATATATATATACGTTGTTGTGCCTCTAATAAGACTGGTCACAAACATGATCCCTGCTGCATGATCCAATAGCGTCTTTTTAGGTCACTGTCATCTATTGTCTGCAACACATTTCTTCTCCCTCTTTGTCTTTCGGCCATTTTCTTTTCTGCTAAAGAAACTCTTAAGCCCATTTTGAAAGTCCTCCTCCTTACTCCTAACACTTTTTGACCTTAAGAGCTCTTTTAAGGTTTAAGATGCTTTGTGAACCACTTTCATCTTTACTAGGATCTTCTCTTTGACTTTAAAGGGGTCATATGATGAGATTTCGATTTTCCTTTCTCTTTGGAGTGTTACAAGCTCTTGGTGCATAAAGAAGATCTGTAAAGTTGCAAAGACT